CTTTCAAAGGCAAACAAAATTAATCTATGGTGGAAGGAAGGGGTAGAGGCAGGTGATGGAATGAGAGCATGAGGGAACTTTCTGCATTCTGGGAGGATTTGGGGGTTACAGAAATGCATGCCTTTGCTGAAGCTCGTTAGCAATACACTTAATATGTAGTATTTTGTTGGGTGTTGTTGGGTGTGATGGTACACCTTGAATCCCAAGCTGCTCTGAAGCAAGAGGGTCAGAGGTTCAAGGCCAGCCTAGGCGATTTAGCAAAACTCTGTCTAAAAAAAAGAGCTGGGGGAGCCCTGCACAAGCCTGTAATTGAAGCCAGAATCAGACAGGMGGTCAGTGTAGATAGGTAAATATGTCAGGTCGGGTCAAGGAGGCCAATTTTGAGTGAATCTGGGAAGTTGGAGAATGTTCCCTGAGGGATCTCATCAAGAACCTGCCCCAGTTCCAACCAGTTGCCAAGGTGACCTGTCCCAGGAATTTCCCCTCCCCACAGGGAGCTATAAGGTTGTCTACTCCACCCTGCCCTTTCCCCTTCAGCCCACGTACTTCCCACCTTTTGGCCACCCCATTCCTGGGCCTAGTCTCGGTGCACAGGAAGGAGAACAAAGGAAGCCTAGGACATATAAAAAGGGCAGAACACCTCGCTTCTTGGGATACCATGAAACCAGCCATGGCCCCCTTCTCCCTCGCGGGAGAAGTCTATGTTACCCCTTTTTAAATGAACCCTGCTTCATAGGCTTGCCTCGGCCGGCTTCTCTCATGTTCAAACTTCAACATGTGGGGAAGCAGGTCACCGATAACCGGCGGGCTCATATTCCCAGTGACTTGAGAGGCTGAGACAGAAGGACTAATCACAAGTTCAAGGCCAGCCTCGGCCACTAAGTGAGGCCCTCAGCAACTTATCCAGAMTCTATCTCAAAAGAATAAAAATAAAATAAATGAAAAGAAAGAGCTGTGAATGTAGCACAGAGGCAGAACGCTCCTGTGAAGCCAGATTTACAGATAGGTAGTTAGTGTAGTTAGGTAAATTGGGTCTAATATCGAGTAAGATAAATAAAATGGAGGCCATTATCAAGAATGGAGTCCAGGAAACCAGAACAGCACTTGGGGAATTTGAAATGTTAATGTCCCCAAGGCCTGGAACCCATCCTATGGAACTGTTAAAGAAGCAGCTCCCTGCAAGCAGGGAGGTGCTAATCATACCCCCCCAGGCCCTTCCTGCCCAGATAACCCCTCCCAGGGCCCTTCAGTCCCCCACCTCCCACCTTTGGCCTTCCCACCTGCATTCCATCACTGCAGGACAGAGGGAAACAAAGGGCAGGAGTGTGGGAGGACTAAGAGAAGACCTTCGCAATAAAAAAGGGCAGACCTTGCCCTTCCACAGACTCTGCCTTTCAAGTCCCTTTCTTCCCCTGGGGAGAAGTCTTTTCTGCTGTCCTTTAATAAAGCCTCCACTGTTCACGCTACAGTTGCCTGGAGTGCTTCTCTGTGTTATACTGCAGCATTCAGGAAGCGGTTCCATTGCCAGTACCACAACAGAAAAAGGGGTGGGGGGTGCTGGAGGTGTACTTCAGCGGTGGAGAACTTGCTTAGCAAGTGTGGAGCATTTGGGAGTGAAGTGTACTAGAGTGTACAACTGACTGAGATAGGAATCTGGTAATAAAGGGAGAGATACTGAATCTCAAAGAAGTGCCCAAGAACCAATGACATGCAGAAAACACTCATGAACAATTGCAACTCCTGGGCCAGAGCCCTTGTAACATGAGGATAATGCGCAAGCGCAGGAAAAACTGGCAAGAAACTCCCTCCGGACTCAGCCTCCAGTCCAGCCCCTAACACCAGCCCTCTATAAGTTTTAACATCCCATACCAAGGGGTGGTTGCACATTCTCCCTCAAATTTGTGTCTACTTTCCTAAATAAACCTGTCTATGCCTTTGGCTGGCACATACTGAAATTCTTTTCCACCACGTATGCCAAGAACTCCGTTGGTCCTGAGTCAAGTTTCTCCTTCTCTCTGGAAACTTCCCAGACACTTCTTCAGAGATATTTTCTCCTATGACATGACTTTGGAATTCATTAAAAAAAAAAAAAGTTGGATTAATGGGGCAAGATGATAGATGCATAACAAAGTTCAATAAAATATTATTGGTAGAATTTAGGGGGTGAGTATTTGGGGGGTTCAGAACACACCACTCCAAAATACAACCATTGGAGGCCAAAACGCACCACTCCAAGACATATTTCCTTGATGTATTTTGGAAAACTGCAGACAGGAGAAGCTGTCTTTTGTAAAACAAATGTACATCTCTAAAGGAAATCRGCATTAGTAAAATACCTGGATCCGGAAGACTGCTTTGAGATCACTTCTGTTACCTGAGAGACTTTATCTGCAGCCTTTATTCACCAGCAGGTACAAATCTCACCTTTCTCTGGCTTGTCCCCAACCCAGAGTCCAATTCCCTATTCTTTTCTTTAGCTCAGGATGCTTAGTAAACTTCAATCAACTAGCCCTTCTATTTCCTAGAATTCCTGTGCATATGCATGCAATTAAAAATTTCCCCAATTAACCTGTCTATTCTGTTTATTTCAAAAACTCAATTTTCAAAACTTCAGAGTACAGTAAGAAAGTTTTCTCTCTCCTACCATATACAAGTGTTCACTATATGTTCAAAAGTTTTCAAACTAAAATGTTAAATGAAAATGCAAAATAACTGCTCTGCTGGGTGCCTTTTAAAAATTTTTTTCTTTAAAGGAGGAAAACTTATTTTGGGGGTTTGTGGTTTCAGAGGTCTCAGTCCATAGGTGCTGACTCCATTCCTCAGGGCCTGAGATAAAGCAGAACATTAGGGGAGATAGCCAAGGAAARCAGCTCAGGACATCACACCAGCAAACAGGGAAACAAACTGCTTCCCTTTTGCACTAGAAATAAAATGCAAAGTCTTTCCAAAATGCAGTCTTGCCCTGCAAACCAGTTCCCTGGAGACCTCCAGGATCCTATCTCCTACAGTCAATCTTTTATTTATGTGTTTGTTTATTCATTCATTAATTCATTTGTTTACATTTTTTGGTCCTGGGAATTKAACCTTCAGTCTCCCACATGATAAGTAAATGCTCCACTTCTGAGCAATGTCCTCAACCCTCTATATTTATTTATTTAATTCATTTATTGTTGGCACTTGTTGAGAAATTGAACTCAGGGGCACTTTACCACTGAGATATATCCCCAGTTCTTTTTATTTGTTTATTGAATTTTTACTTATCTACTTGGTACAGGGGGTTGAATCCAGAGGTGCTTTGCTGGTCCACATTTCCAGCTCTTTTTAATTTTTGTATTTTGAGACAGGGTCCCACTAAGTTTCTTAGGTCCTCACTAAGTTGCTGAGGCTGGCCTCAAACTTGCAATCCTCCTGCCTCCACTCCCCAGTAGCTGGRATTACAGGTACGTGCCACTGCCCCCAGCTCTATATTTAATCTTTGAAGCAATAAATATTTATTGAGCACCTACTGTGTGCAGGGCACTGCACTCTATGCTAGGGTTACAGCAGTGAATAGGACCTGCCCCCCATGCATGACATGTTCTCTTCTTCAACAAGCCCATTCCCCCAGCAGGCCTCTGTGCTTCCTGATTATCTAATTTTAACTTAATTTGCTTGTGGATATGAGCTCAGAGAGGGCAGGGCCTTTCTCTGGATTGCTCATAATGCATCCTCAGGTCTAGAACAAAGCGGTTTTTTTTTTTTTCTTTTTCTCTGTACTGAGGATTGAATCCAAGGGTGCTACACCCCTAGCCCTTTTTAAACTTTATTTTGAGACAAGGTCAGGCTAAGTTACCGAAGCTGGCCTTGAACTTGCCACCTCCTGCCTCAGCAGTCCCTGTAGAACAAATCCTTGTTTGTAGTTGGACCTCTGTAACAATGATTATTTATCTATCTGTTTGTTTGTTTGTTGGTACTAGGGATCAAACTCAGGGGCGCTTAACCACTGATCCACATTCCCAGCCCTTTTTATTTTATTTTTTATTTTGAGACAGGGTCTCACTAAGTTGCTTAGGGCCTCGCTAAATTCCCCAGGATCACAGGCAACACACCATGCCACCTGGCCCTCCATAACAATTATTTGTAGAAATATTAGCTAACATTTAATTAGTACTTGTTATATATGCACCTTACTCTGTTTTAAATTTTGAGTAGATATGTACTTATTTAATTCTGAAAACTAGCTCTATTGTACAAGAGTGAATGCACAGAAAAGCTCAGCTGTGAGTTTAAGTAGTCTGACTACTGGCTGACAAGCTSCTAACCATAACTATTATGCAAGATGCCTTTAAGTGAATGAATCAATGAATCAGACTGATCTGGGTCCAAATACTAGCTGTCATTTAGCCTCATGATCTTGAGCTAACAGATTCTTCCCCCTTTTTCTGGGGGTGCTGGGGAGTRAAACCAGGACCTGGCCCATGCTAGGCAAGTAATCGACCTCTTGACCGCAGATTCTTCATCGTTGAAGGTCAAGTCCCTCTTCCAAGTTCATGAAGATGCYGGAGGCTCTCAGATAACAGCACAGGCACACACGCACGCTCGCACACTCAATAACAATGCGGAGGGAGGTAGGAGCCCTGGAGGGCTGCGCCAGGTCGCCGCCCGGCGCGAGGTGTGGCCGCCTACAGGCAGCCAAAGTCTCTGGGCCCGCAGGTTCTGCTCGTTTGCTGACGCCCTACCTGGGGCCCAGGGCGCTTTCTCCGCCCCGCCAACCCCGAAGCCCGGGAAAAACTAGGCGACCTGGGAGATCGGCTCCTGCGTACATTCCCAACCTCGGGCGGCGGCGGCGGTGGCCCCGGAGAGATCCGACCGCGGGGAGAGCAGCCAACCAGCAGGTGAGGGGATAGGCTGCTGCCCCACCCGCCTCCGCCTGATTTCGTGAGGGAGGAAGCCGCCTGGCTCCCGCCCCTCACTGACCCAGCCTCGGGAAGCCTCGGGAGGAGGAAGAGGCGACCTGCGAGATGGAGGCGGCCAGCACCTGGGTGCTGCTGCTGGCGCTGCTGCTGCTGCTGCTGCTGACGCTGGCGCTGCCCTGGACCCGGGCCCGAGGCCACCTGCCCCCGGGGCCCGCGCCGCTGCCGCTGCTGGGGAACCTCYTGCAACTGCGTCCCGGAGCGCTGTACTCCGGCTTCCTGCAGGTGAGGGGCGGCGCAGGCCACCTGGCCGCGGGTGGAGGGTCCTCTGTGTGCCAGGGCACAGGGGTTCTCGAGTGTCCCAGGAGTATCCCAGAGCAAAGGGGCTAGGATGCCCTGCGAGATGGAGGACAGGAGCAGGTTGTCCAGGGTTGAGAAGGAGAGGGGTACCCCGTACCCCGGAGAGAGTATCCTCGCTGGGGGACTAGGCTGGGAGGGGCAGAGCCCCCAGATTCCTGGAGGGGGGTGAGAGCTAGGAAGCAGGGGTTCCAGGGCAGAGGAMCCCACAGAATGCTGGGGAGCTGGTGGCCAGGGACCAAAGGTTAGGATGGAGCCTTCAAAAGTAGTGGTTGATGGTACTGGACTTGTCCCCGGAGGAGAGGAAGTGTCCTGAATGGGGATGAGAAGAAGGAAGCGRGGGTCTCTGGGGTGCTGTGGAGGGGGAGGGAGATCGGAGGTCTCCGGGCTCCGAGGAGAGGGCCTCTCAGGCTGAAGGAATCTGCCTGCWGAGACACAGGGTGTGGGAGGACGGGGGCAGCCACTAGGAGGGAGCTGAGTTCCTGGGACCTGGTGGGAAGAAGGGAGGCAGTCCCAACCTTCAGGGGGTGGGGTGGGAAGAGATTCCCCATCCTAGAGGATTCTGAGGGACTTTGAGGACATAGAAAGGGGGTGGGCGTCTGGGGAGGGGCCGCGCTTAACAATATCTGCCCTAGAATTTGAGGTTCTGGTAGTGATGGAAAGGGAAGGGGGAGAGGGTGCACTTCTGTAGCTCAACACTAGTTTGGAACTGTCCCAGGGTCGGAGGTTAGGGTCTGGCAGGAAGTAGGGGGATGAGATCTGGGAGGAAGGGGCCTGGGAGCCTGGTGCAGAAAGAGAACTAGCCTCTGACWGGGGCTGTTTCTGCTTGGGGGGAGGGGACAAGTTCCTGGTTTGTACCCGACCAGATGGCTCCTCCTAGGACTGGGTTCCATCAGGATGGAGGCCCCACAGCAGCTGACCCCCTCTCCCTCTCTGCTCTGCCCCCAGCTGAGTGAAAAGTACGGGCCAGTGTTCACTGTGCACCTGGGCCCCTGGCGGAGAGTGGTGGTCCTGGTTGGGCATGAGGCTGTGCAGGAGGCCCTGGGAGGGCAAGCGGAGGAATTCAGCGGGCGGGGAACCCTGGCCACGCTGGACCAGGTTTTTGATGGTCATGGTGAGTCATGAGAGGAGTGGGGGGCTGCTGGGTCTTGCCCCCACTTACAGGTACGTGACCTTTTGCATGTGGCTTAGTGCCTCTGTTCCCTTCTCTGGGAAATGGGACAAGAATTGTACCTATCACAGAGGGTTGTCCCAAGGAGGAAAAAAAGATGGGGCCTTGTGCAGTTACTAATCACGGACCCAAGTGAAGCCCCAGGGTGGGAGAACTTTCAAGGCTCGGGAATTGATAGGCGAACACTCAMAATACAGAAAGCAGAAGTATCCTCCTTGTTAAGACAGAAGGAGGTGACCCATGCTTTGCTCAGCTGGTGACATAGCCCCTGTCCTGCTCCCCCAGAGCACCCAGGCTTAGTGAGGATGTCACCAGACAATGACAACTCAAAGGGGTTGGCCATGATGGGGAAGCCCAGGCTGTCCTGGGGGAAGCCCTGGGACTATAGGAATCCAGAAAAAGGGACCTAACTTGGACTATGGAGTGGGGAACATCCAGGAAATGGGCCCAGAAGAGAAGATGTCTGGGTTGGGACTCAGGATAAGAGGGAAGGGTGTTCCAGGCAGAAAGACCAGATTATACAAAAGCACTGACAGCCCGTCATGCCTGCCCTGTATGGGACAGATGCAGTGTCCTCTCAGTGTGAGAGAGAGGGGGCTTGGAATAAGACAATGGAGGAAGGGAGTAGCCTTCTCAAATATTTAAGTGCAGCTTTCAGAGCTGGACACAGGACCCTGTACTGGGGGTGGGATGCGAGGGTTTAGGGACAGCTTCTCAGAGGTGGTGACATTTAAGCTGGAATGTAAGTGGAGTTAGTTCACCTAGAACAGAGGTTCTGAGAGGCAAATAGGCAGAGGGAGCAGCAGGTCCAAAGGCTGGTTGGCAGGGGCAGGAAGTGAGAGAAGCCTGGCCAAGAGTAATGAACTGAGAGGTCAGGAGACCCTGCTCGTGGAGGGCCTGAGTACACCAGAGCCTTTCCTGGAGACCTTGAAGTATTTTAATTAATTAGTTAGTTAGTTTTGGTACTTGGAACTGAACCCAGGGGTGCTTTACCACTGAGCTACCTCCCAACCCTTTTTTATTTCTCATTTTGAGACAGCATCTTGCTGTGTTGCCCAGGCTGACCTTGACTTTGTGATCCAGGTTCACTGGTTACTGCAGAGGGACAGAACTGAAGGCTGGGAGCCCAGAGAGGACCTCAGCTGACCAGGGCAGGGGCCAGATGGATGGTGCACTGARATGGGGAAGGAGAGATACTGACTCCAGTTTGGAAGAGGGCTGAGTCCCATCCTTCCTGTCTTCCCAACTGTGGGGCAGAGGATTCAATGGTGCTGTGTATCTGCTAGGATGGACCGGTGGGAGGAAGAGGAAAGAAGGTGAACAGGTGGAAGGAAGGAATTTTTACTCACCCTGGTTAATCACAGAGCAAAAGGAGCCTGGTTTGGGGCTGGGATTGTGGCTCAACGTTAGAGCAGTAGAGCGCTCGAGCACTCCCCTAGCACGGGCAAGACCTGGGTAGGATCCTCAGCACCACATAAAAATAAAGGCATTGTGTTGTGTCCATCTACACCTAAAAGATAAATATTTTTTTTTTTTAAAAAAGGAGCCTGGATCATCCCATTTATCTATGCATTTATTGAGCACCTACTGAGTCTTCATGYCTGAGGGAGGCTGGTATGGATTCAGGACAGGGATCTGGGGGCACCTCCCTGCAGGGAAGGGACAGTCCCTTCCTGAGTCTAGACTTCCACACAGGRGTTTTCTTTGCCAACGGGGAGCGATGGAAGCAGCTCAGAAAGTTCACCATGCTGGCCTTACGGGACCTGGGCATGGGGAAGCGAGAAGGCGAGGAGCTGATCCAGGCGGAGGTCCAGTGTCTGGTGGAGGCGTTCCGGGAAACAGAAGGTCAGAGGGAGCGGTCAGTGCAAGRGCCTGGCTGAGTCGGGAGAGAGGGGGAAGCCTGGGGCTTTGGGGCTGGGCTGGGGTCTCTGCTTACCTCCACTCTTTTCCATCTTGCTGCCTCATGAGGTGTCACAAATCTCTTATGTCCCTGAYGCTGTCACCTCCCCCTTTGGGGGCCTCCATCCCTCTTTTTTCCTTTGCCACTGTTTCTTTCTGCCTGTCTTCCTCTATTTGTGTGTAATCCTCTCTGTCTCTCTATCCATTCACCTGTTTTTCTTTTTCTTTTTTTTTTTTATACTAGGGATTGAAGGGATTGACCACTGAGCTACATCCCCAGTTCTTTTTTTTTTTTTTTTTTTTTTTTGAGATGGGATCTCATTAAGTTGCTGAGGGTCTCACTAAGTTCCCCAGCATCTTGTTAAATTGCTGAGACTGACCTCCAACTTGTGATCCTCCTGCCTCAGCCTCCCAAGTTACTGGAATGACAGGCACAGCCTATCTGTTTCTCTCTAGTTGGGCCTGCCCTCTGCTCTGTATTCAGGGGTCTGCCAAGTGCCATATTAGTTCCCTTGCCCTTCACACCCCCCAGGACGTCCATTCGATCCCTCCCTGCTGCTGGCCCAGGCCACTTCCAATGTCATCTGCTCCCTCACCTTTGGCCTCCGCTTCCCCTATAAGGACAAGGAGTTTCAGGCTATCATCCAGGCCGCTGGTGATACTCTGCTGGGGATCAGCTCCCCATGGGGCCAGGTAAGTGTGTGGGATGCCTCTCCAGCCACCGTCCCCAAAGGTTCCTGCCAAGCCCTCTGAGAGCCAGCTGTTCTTCYACCCACAGACCTATGAGATGTTCTCCTGGCTCCTGCGACCCCTGCCAGGCCCCCACACACAGCTCCTCCGTCACTTGGGCACCCTGGCCACCTTTGCAGTCCAGCAGGTGCAACAGCACCGAGGGAGCCTGGACAGCTCAGGACCCGCTCGAGATGTTGTGGATGCCTTCCTGCTCAAGATGGCGCAGGTRGGGATGGAGTGGGAGGGATGCATGAATCTGCCTTAAATGGGGTTGGTGGTCTGGCTGGCCCCCTGGGCCAACTGTGCCTGGGGATCTCGACTGGATCTGTGTGTGTCTCTCTGCGTGTCCCTGTGTATGTGTCCCTGCATGTGTATGCACACCTCTTCTCCATCTGTCTGTCTGTTCAGCTCTCTGTCTGCCTCTGTGTGTTGTTCTCCCTGGCTCCCCTCACCCCCACCCTCAGAATGCCTTTAGTGCAGGTGTCTCTGTCCCTTTGCCTGTCACCTCTGTTCCTCCCTCAGCCTGTTTCAGGTCCTGTCCCCAGCAGTTCTTCACCCCTCACACACACACTTCCCCTATTCACACTGGATGGGAGTTTTATGTGAATTACAATCACTGAATGATGAGTCCTTACAATTTAAAATTATAGCCAGGTGCCATGGCACACTCCTGTAATCCCAGGGGCCCAGGAGGCTGAGGCAGGAGGATCACAAGTACAAAGCCAGCCTCAGCAACTTAGCGAGGCCCTAAGCAACTTAGTGAGGCCCTAAGCAACTTAGTGAGAGCCTGTCTCTAAACAAAATACAAAAAGGGCTGGAGATCAGCTCCCCACTTCTCCACTTTTCCCAAATGTTTATGTAAAATCTTTGACCGTTCTTTTAACTTGCTGTGCTGCACCCCAAACCTGACTCCTCTGGACTTCTATTTCCCACAGCCTGTGTTCTCTGAGCCCCTCTCCCTGGTTTCTCCCAGGAGGAACAAAAGCCAAACACGGAATTCACTGAGAAGAATTTGCTGATGACGGTCACTTATCTGTTGTTTGCTGGGACAATGACGATAGGTGCCACGGTCCGATACGCCCTCCTGCTCCTGCTGAAACATCCTCAGGTCCAAAGTAAGATCCTTTTCTACCAGCTAACCTCGGAACAGAAGTAAGCCCTTAAGAGGGGAAATGTGCAGGCTGAGCCAGAGCGTGGACTCAAAAATGAGCATTTGGGGCCCCTGAACTATGAGAAATTGGGGGCTGCCGGTTGCAGTATGGAGCATGGTGACACACCAGGCGGGAGACATCTGCAGGGTCTTGTCACCTTGGTAGTCCGTTGTAAGCCTGGATCATTGGCCACAGAGAGCTATGAAAGAATTTTGAGCAGGGGAACRCAGGGTCTGTTTTGCATTTTAGAAAAATCCTTTGTGCTCTGCCTGAAGAAGTAGATTATAAAGGGTGAGAGAGGATGCCAGGAACCCGAGGAGCAGGAGAGGGACCTGAACAGGGAGGACAGAGCTGGACCAGGCTGTGAAGAAGGAAGAGGAGGCAGAATCGATGGSTCTGGAGAACAAGAGAAGGAGATACGCAGAGACAGGCTCCAGTTTCTGGCTGGAGACAGGGCCCACCCTGAGCTGGGGACAGGAAGGATGACGAAGGAGCTGGTCTCAAGGAAGAGAGCAAAGCCAGTTTGGAATAAATTGAGCAGTCTGCAGCCACCAAGGAGGAGGGATCCAGGAGACCACAAGTCAGGGCTGTAGATTGAAAATGTGGGGTCATCAGAGCATGGGCCGGAGACAACTGCCACAGTGATAGAGGGTGTGTGGGGGTAAGGGGCAGGGCTGGGAATGAGTGCCAAGGAATTCCAGCATTTCCGGATCAGTGGCGTGGGGACTGACTTGGAAAAAGAGACTCGGGGCCTGGTGGCTTTGGTGAAATTAGCTGTGACATCAGGCAAGTGACTCGGGCTCCCAGTTTCCTCATCTGGGAAATGGAGATGGATAATGGTATCCTCTCTTAATGGGAAATTAAATGTTCAGCACAGAGGACATGTGGGTCCTGGGCTCAGGGAAGTTGGGGAGCTGTTCCTCCCCACCATCCCTGCCAGCCTCACCCCAATTACCACAGCTTCCAAAAGGAAGATTACAGGGTTCCACCCCACCCCTGACCCCTCTCCCCTTCTCTTGCTTGCAGAGCGTGTGCGGGAGGAACTGACACGGGAACTGGGGACTGGCCGGGCTCCAAGTCTGGGGGACCGCGCCCGCCTTCCTTACACAGATGCAGTTCTGCACGAAGCACAGCGGCTGCTGGCGCTGGTGCCCATGGGGATGCCCCACTCCCTCACGAAGACCACTTGCTTCCGCGGGTACATCCTGCCCCAGGTGGGTTTATGGACAGCCACGGTCCAGTAGTTGTCTCTGCCCTTGGGGCTTGAGTCTGTTGCTAGGAGAGTTGCTAATGGTGTGTCTTTTTCTTGATCTTAATGTATGTCTGTCTGTCTGTCCATCAGTCCCTGCTGTAGACATACAGTGTCTCCCATTCAGTCTCTGCCCCTTTGTTGGAGAGAAATTCAGACCCAGAGCCACTAGGGGGCGATGTATGCAAAACCCTGAAGCAGTTGCTGCTTGGTGTAAAATCAAATCCGCRGCTGTTAGAAATCAGCCACTGGGACCTTGGAAAAATCTCTTCGTCCTCTGTCCTTCAATATACCCCTCTTCTAAATTTAGAACTCTAACAGTATCAATTTAGAGTCCTAATATAATGCTAATAAACATCAAAGCAGCTCTTGGTGGTAAGGATGGGGGGGATTTTATATAGGACAGCAACAATATAATGATAACAAGAATCATAGGTTTCAGCACTTGAGGATCTGCTATGTCAGGAATTGTGAGTACTTTACATATGTATTATTTTCTTTCTTTTTTTTTTTTCTTGCTGTACTAGAGACTGAATCCAGGTACACTTTATCACTGAGCTGTATTTCCAGCCCTCTTTATTTTTGAGACAAGATCTCACTCAGTTGAGGAGGCTGGCCTGGAACTTGATATCCTCCTGCTTTAGCCTCCTGAGTCACTAGGATTACAGATGTGTGCCCCTGAACCTGGCTTTATGTCTTACTTTATCTCCAAAACAACTGTATACAGTTGGCATGCCCAATTCACAGACGAAACTGAGAGCTTGCAAGGTTAGAAGGCTTGCCAAGGTCACCCAGCTTGCAATCAGGGAAGCAGGATTTGAAACTAAAATCTATGCTTTAACTATTTCTATRTGTGCCTGCCCTCCCCTACCTCCCTTTCTCTTGTACTCATGTGAACTGGTGTTCAATGCTTTTCTGTTATTTTCTGGCCTTTTCCCGGAACCCCCTCACCTTCCCGACTCGGTCCCCATTAGCTAGACTCCCTGACAGAGAAAGTCTCTCCTCTGCCAGGCACAGCGGTGCTCATCTATAATCCCAGCAACTCAGGAGGCTGAGGCAGGAGGATCACAAGTTCAAGGCCAACCTTGGCAACTTCGRGAGATGCTGTCTATAAATTAAAAACAAGAAGAGCTGGTATGTAGCTCAGTGTTAAAGCACCCTGGGTTCCATCCCCAGGGCCCAAGGAGGAAAATTAAGAAAGTCTCATCCCTCTCCTCACGCTCCCTTCCCTGCCTTCATCCTCCACTGCACAACCCTGGGAACTCACCTGAGAGGCTGCCRCTCTCTCTGAACCTGGGCAGGGGGAGACTTCATGGACAGCCCTGCCCCTTGTCTTCATCTCTGTAAGATGGTGGCTTAGACAGGCACAGCTGCATCACAGCACACTCCCAAAGATTCAAAACAAAGGAAAAATAACAAGCTCTGCCAAGCTCTCTAAATGGTTACCTTGAGCAACTGCTTAAGTTCTCTGGGCCTGAATTTCCCCATCTTAAAACAGGAATGATATTCCTACCTGCCTCCTAGGATTGTTCAAAGATTTTGTATGTATGTGCATGTGAGTACATGTGAGTACATGTTCCTGTTAGATATGTGAGGTAGCATGTGTGAGTGCCATTAATGCTAACTTTGGGTGTTTTGGGTTTGGGTTTGGGTACTGGGGATTAAACCCAGGGGCACTTTACCACTGAGCTACATACCCAGTCCTTTTTATTTTTTATTTTGGGATAGGGTCTCACTAAGTTGCTTAGGGCCTTGATAAATTTCTGAGGCTGGCCTTGAACTTATGATCCTCCTGCCTCATCCTCCTGAGTCACTGGAACTACTAGCATGCCCCGACCCAGCCATCACCTGTCCTTTTAATTTTTTTTTTTTTTTTTTTTTTGAGACAGGTCTCACTAAGTTGCTGAGGGTCTGGCTAAGTTTCCCAGGCTGGACTTGAACTTGAGTCACCCTTGCTTCAGCCTCCCCAGTTGCTGGCATTACAGGCATGCACCACACCCAGCAGTTGGCATACTTTGTGAACTACTTTGTGAASGGTGTCCCCGGCTCTCCAGACTTGTATTCTGCACTGGGGAACTGGGTGGCCTGGGATAGTGAGGGACTTGCAGTTTTATTATTTCCCCTCAGGGCACTGAGATCTTCCCTGTCCTTGGTTCCGTCCTGCATGACCCCAAAGTCTTTGAGCGGCCAGAGGAGTTCAACCCAGACCGTTTTCTGGATGAGAATGGACAGTTCAAGAAGCATGAGGCGYTCCTGCCCTTCTCCTTAGGTATCTGCTGCTGTGACCACTGGCCCTGGCTGGCACGGCTGTCAGTGCCTGCTAGGGCAGGCCTGCATCCCCAGCTCATCCTCGGCTCCCCCGGGAGCCCGGGTGTGAACAGAGTTGTCTGAACCCCGTCTCCTCTTCTTGCCAGGTAAGCGCGTCTGCCTCGGCGAGGGCTTGGCGCGAGCGGAGCTCTTCCTTTTCTTCGCTGCCATCCTACAGGCYTTCTCTCTGGAGAGCCCGGGCCCCCTGAGTACCCTGAGCCTCCAGCCAGCTGTCAGTGGCCTCTTCAACATCCCACCCGCCTTCCAGCTGCAGGTCCACCCCGCTGAAGAAGGAGGGAGCTTGGGGCAGAGGTAGYCACTTGGAAAGAGGCTGCCCGCCTCGGTGGCGTGCGTGGACAGGGTGTATCTCCAGAGCCACGAGCCTGCACTGCAGGGGCTCCCACCTCCCCACACATATGTTTTCTGGAATTTTCACAGATAAGTGGCCTGTGCTGCTGCCGAGGCATCAGCCACATGCCCATACTCAACCATGAGGGCCACCACTGCCATCTACAGAAATGCAAGCACTTGTCCAGCTAACCCAGCAGCCCATGCCAACCCACGGTTCCCTGGGCTCTCAACCCGCATGTCGGAGTCCAGCCACCGTGCTCACAGCTCTCACACACCCGTGCCACCATCTCTGGGTGCCTGCCACAGAGAGCCCAAAATGCACCTCCCGGGTCATGCCACAGTCAGGGTGTCCTGTCCTCAGCCCCAGTATGGTCCGTTGCGTGATCTCCYTCCAGGCTCATAAGCACCCCTGTCCACACACGCCAACCACTGATCCACCCAGCCAGCCCTCACATGACACCTTCCTGGCTCCCACTGAGACCTGTTGGTCTTACAGAGGCACAGTCTCCAGCCAGCTCCATACCTTTGTCCCTCAGGGACACCCTTTTAGGAGTACCCCTTTCAGTAAATTTTCTCCAATACAAATATTTTCTGATCTGCAATTAGGCACACAGACTTTGGACACCGGAGGACTCTCACCTGCTCCCACCACACACGCACGTACGCACAGCCCCTATTCTGTGGTCAAAGTCCCCATTAGGCCCTGGAAAGGGGCTAGATGTCCAAGCAGGGTCCAGGTCCCAACCCCCCAGTGCCAGGAAGGAGGCCAGACCTGACCTCTTTGTGGCTTGAAGGTCTCCATTTTGCAATAAAAGTTTGTCTCTGGCCCAGGGCAGGGCCTACTGTGCCTGTGTGACTGTGTCTGTCCTAGTGAGTAAGGGGTGGAGATGGGGGAGTTCACCCCTCCCCTGAGGTTGGGCGGGAGCTGAAAAACGTGGTCACTGCCCACCCTGGCTGTTGACATCAGGGCCAGATGTGGGGCTGGGAGGGGAGGGAAGGGGAGGGACAGGGCTGGGGCTGATGGCCGGTTGCTCGGCCAGGGAAAGCCCAAAGCTGATGGATTCAAACCCTGAGAAGTGTCTGAAAACAGATGTACACAGGCATCAACGCCCAGACCCTCCCCCACGGTCCTTTTCCACCACCCATGTGCTGCCGTCCCTTCACAAGGARACCAAAGGCATCTTTTTACTTCTTAAATTATCTAAGGATAACGTCAATTTCCTAGGTTAAGGAGATAATCCAATTCAATATAAATAAATTAGAGATATTGTATTAAAAAAAAAAATTATCTAAGGAAAGTTTTCCACATTCAGGAGGCCCTGGGTTTGATTCCCAGCAACCAAAACAAGTTTTGTAATAAARTAGAAGAGGACCGTCAACTTTCTTCCTTATTTCATCTGTCACTCTTGAGTTATTTTAAGACAAATCTCAGAAAAAACTGAACATGCATGCCTAAGCATTAAGGACATTCCCTCTCAGCATTTTAATTTTTTAAATTAATTTTTATTATTATTTTTGCATCTCTGGGTGGGTGCAAATCCTCCAACATTTTATTATGACAGTTTTTTATCCACTTTTTTTTTTTTCAGTGCTAGGGATTGAACCCAGGGCCTTTCACATACCAGGCAAGGATTTTACCACTGAACTAAGTCCTCAACCTCTGTGACAGTTTTTTAAACATGCAGCAAAAGTGGAAGGAGTTGAGCATCTGCTATGCCTAGGGTTCTCCCCCAGGCCTTTTGTTAGGTTGTGACATTTTTTTTAACCTACCTGAGCATCCAGCTCGGGGAAATATCTCCAAGTACGTTACAGGCATCCAATCACCTAAAAACTTCAAAGTCTGTATCGTTAGATATTTCCTTTTTAAAAAGCATTTTCCATGATATTATCACTTTATTGGTTTAAGTTGTACAGAGGTGGCACAAAACAGTGATGTAACAGAATTAAAAGATGAGGCTGAGCCAGGTGTGGTGGTTCACACCTGTTATCCCAGCTACTCAGGAGACGAGACAGTTGGAGCACAAGCAAGTTCAAGGCCAGCCTCAGCAATTTAGCAAGACTCTGTCTCAAAATATATATAAATGAATGAATAAAAAAGGGCTGGGGATGTGGCTCAGTGGTAAACTGCCCCTGGGTTCCATCCCTGGAACCAGAAAAAAAAAAAAATATATATATATATATATAAGAAAAATTCTAGAATTAAATAGAAACTAAATATATGCTGAATTATTGGATTTAACAGTACCATTCTTAATACTTTGACATTCCAAAAGGAATGAAGTTTAAAATTTTTCCTTAAAAAAAAAAAATTAAGGTGATGACTTAGATCTCATTTGCACTCAAAAGTCAGATTCAGGGAAATGTGGAATTGGATAAAAATACCAGAAAATCATGGGGCTGGGGTTGTGGCTCAGTGGTAGAGTGCTCCCCTAGCATGTATGAGGCACTGGGTTCCATCCTCAGCACCACATAAAAATATATATATACACAAAATAAAGGTATTGTGTCCATCTACAACTAAAAAAAAAAAAAAAAAAAACAGAAAATCAATTTATTTAAAGAGGCACAGACCTTGCCCTGTATCAATATAAAAACTGACATCAGAAACGGCATAGATCAGGCCCAGGCCCTGGGTTTCATCCACAACACTGTGCAGGGGGGACAAGAAAGCAAGCTGACTTAGGATGATTTAAGTATCAAGAAAAAATATGCTTCAATACTAGGAATTATTGAACCCCAAAGTAAAAATAATTAGAATTAGTATAGTCTTCAAATATATTTGTATGTGTGGAAAAATAGAGATAACATTTTAGCCCAAAGTATATGATTTAGTGCATTAAGTACGTTCACTATGTGTGAACAGCCATCCCCACTACACCTAAACCTTAGGTCATCTCCAACCAAAACTACCTACTCAGTAACTCCCTCTTTGAAGTTTACCCTTTCGTTTTTCTTTTTTGGAGCTCTGGGTAGACGCTGGTTCATGTTCCATCAYTGAGCTATATTCCCAGTCTTATTTACTTATTTAGGTACTGGGGATTGAATCCAGGGGTTCTCCACAACTGAGCTACATTCCCAACCATTTGTTTGTTTGTTTGTTTRTTTAGGAGACAGGGTATCACTAAATTGCTGAGGCTGGTCTTGAAYTTGTAATCCTCCTTCCTCCGCCTCCTGAGTGCTAGGATTACAGACATGTTCCACCGTGCTCACCTAGAGGGATCTTTTAATCAGATCCAGGGCTGGGGCTGTAGCTTAGTGGTAGAGTGCTTGCTTCCATCCCTCACAAGGCCCTGCGTTTGATTTATTAATAAATAAATAAACAAAATGAGATCAGCTCCTGTGTCTCCCTTTCAAGTCCCACCAGGGGTTCCCACCATAGAATAAAGACCAAAGGCCTTCCCAGCCTTCCCAGGGGTTAACTTGAACCCTCCCTGATCCATCCTCCCCCTGCCCCGGCCTCCATTCATTCCAGTCAGAAGGGCCTCCCCAAAGTTCATTGAGTYTGTCTCAGGCCCACCTGGAGGCCTCCGCAAGGGCTGCTCCCTCTGCCTGGAAGGCTCTTCTCTACGTGTCCTTCACTGATTTCCCTTAGACTCCATCACAACCTCTGAAGCCTTCYGCAGCCCTTTCTCTGAAATAGCACTTCCACTCTTTGCTGTCCCCTCCCCTGCCTTACTTCTCCTCAAGGTCCCATCCTGCATCCTAATATTTTTGTGCCTGTTGTTTCTCCTCTCCTTACAACAGGAGTTCAGTGAGGACATGGCCTTGTCCTGCTCACTGTGGAAGCACCAGTCCCCAACACAAAGGGCACTTCTATACCTGTCCTTCTCATTAAACAATATTTTTTTTTAAAAAATGCATTTCTACGGGGCATCATGGCACACACCTGGAATCCCAGCGATGCTTGGAGGATCACAAGTTCAAGGCCAGCCTTGACAGCTTAGTGAGACCTTGTCTTAAAAATAAATAAATAAATAATAAAAAGGGCTGGGGATATAGCTCAGTGGTAGAGTGCCTCTGCATTTAATCCCCAGTACCAAAAAAAAAAAAAAAAAAAAAAAAGCATTTCAAGGTAAATTGTAGACACACCATAGTAGGTTCTGGCAATCAGAACTCGAGTAAGTGTGCTCACGGGCTCCAGGTAGCCACACTTCCAGCTGGCTCCATGGGTCTTAGGTGGGCAGAAATCCCTAATATATCTAAACAAGGGGGCAGAACTTTGCACATATTTCCATCCACCCAAAAGTCAGAGTTATTGTCACCTATATGTCAAGGCTTTGTACAGGACAGTGGAGTACAGTAGTAACTTAGATATATAGTCAGCTCCACCCTCCCGGAGYCCACAGGCCAGCCAAGGAGACAGACAAAATTGTGCCAAATAAATCTATAATGACAACCCATATGCAAAGTTTTGCACCACCCCTTCCCCCAAAGAAAGAAAAAGGACAGGATGTTGGGAGTGTGAACAACATGAGGGCCTAGGTCATACAGTGATGCAGTGGAGAGGGGACCCTAGGGATATGGATGAGGGGTACGTAGGAGTTGGGGACAGAAAGCTGAGCTGCAAAAAGATGCTCCAAGGCTGTAAGGAGGTTCTTTGGGTCAGAAAGTGAAAGACTCCAAAGGAGAGGGAGGGTCAGGACTCAGGGGGTCCTCATGGGCCTCTGTAGGGGGTTTGTCTAAAAAGGTTGGGGCAAGGCAAGGAGAAGGTTAGATTTGGAATTGGGAAACATTCTTCTGACTGCTGAATGGGAGAAGGAGGAGACGCTGGTGGCCCAGGCTGGAGGCCAGGGYTGTGTCCAGGTGGGAGACACTGGGGCTGGACCAGGGTGGAGTTATAGGGAGAAATGAGGGCAGGTGGGAAAGAGGTCTGTGAGCTGAGTCTCCATGGATATCAGTAACTGGCTGTGCCCAGGAGGACCCCAAGGCTCAGGCCTGGGTGGCAGGATGAATGCTGGGGCCATCACCAAGGTGGGATACAAATGAGACATCCCAAGGAGACTAATGGGGAAGGGTCCTGAGTGGCCTGCTGAGGAGCTAGGGGCTCACCCCAAGGGCAGAGGGGAGCCACAGCTAAGAAGCGGGAAACAGGGTCTAATTTGGGTCTCAGAAACATCCCTCTGGTTGCTAAAGAGGAGATGGATTGGAGGGAGAAAGAGGAGAGGAGGGSGCCTAGAGAAGGGGACAGAGAAAAACACCAGGAGGCCAAATAGACAGGACTTAATGATGAGCTGTTGGGATTCGGAGACCCAAACAGAATGGCCAAGAGCAGAGAGTCGGCACCCAGCCACCTYGTACATAAGACTCCCAGGCACGCAGAGCCCCCTGTGCCCAACACACAGGGATGCAGAAATGGCCATGCAGGGGGAGCCAATACCCAGGTCCCGGATCTGCAAGGACCTGGATGCACAATGAGGCCAGAGGGAGGGAGCAGCAAGTGCAGAGACAGAGAAGCCCAAACCACTGGGCACCTTGTCAGCAGTCATTGCCACGTGCAAGGAACTGCATGCACTTTGACCCAGATCACCCTCCAACTAGCCTGCTCCGTGGACCCTATTCTTATTCCCATCTTACAGAGGGACACGCTGAGGGACGGAGGCCAGTCACTTGCCCACAGTCACACCATTAGTGGGAGATCTGGACTTGGGTCTGGGGGTGCTCCCATGAACGCACACACACTGGTGTCCAGCTTCTGTGTGTCAGCATCCGTCCCCTGAGATGCCCACCCAGCAGTGAACTTCCGTCTCTGAGCTTTCCCTAGGAGGCAGCTCCCGACCTGACTTGCCTGAAGGT